TTTTATTCGGTTTAAAACAAAACATTTAATAATAATTTTCACTTGTGTCTTTCTCATTTTTACTGATAAAAAAAAATGAAAATGAAGATTTAAAAAAAAAAGAGCCAATCTTCCAAAACCATCCATAGTTTCGTGAATTGTTGGCATAGAGGTACTCGAAACCACTCTTACATCAAGGGCAAGAGAGAGGGAGAGCAGAGAGACAGATAGGTTCTGGCTTAACATAATAGGTTCATTCCAACCAGCAGTAATATTACCGTAATATTATCGTCAGTAACAGCGTTAATGCGACTGCGCGAACAAAACAGTAAAATTATTTTGAATAACGTATAAACTGGTTGGAACCTTTTTTGAACTATATAGTAGTACTCACAATCAGAAGAAAAAGAATATAACCTAAAACTCACAATGGTGTTTATTGTGCTAAGTAAAGCGCATATAGGTATAACTATTTTAATAAAGTAATAAATATGGCAGGTTTTTTAAATAATTATTTGAATGATTCTTCGGATGACGAGGATTTAGATGTTATTGGGGACATTGCTACTAGAAATAACTATTACCTAGGTTTGTTGAGTTTATAAATATATATATAAGTATATTTTAATAACATCACACATTGATAATAAATTCTTTCATTCCTGCTCACAAATGACAAAAATTAGATGTATTAACATTAAAAATTACCTTGTATAGCAGTCATTTTTAAATAATATGTCCACTTTTACAGAAAACAAACTTACAATATTACAAAAGTTAATAAATAAACAAAAAGATGAGGTGTAACACCTTACTACGCATGCGTCTAATTTTATTATCAACAGTTCTTGCTCTCGAGCAAGAATCGTTTGAACCGTAATTTTACTGTCCATAACTCTGGTTGGAACAACGAACTGACAGTAATCGCCAGTTCTAAACTAGTAATTTTAGTTGGTTGGAACGACATTTTACAAATGCGCATGTGTATCAGTAATATTACTGGAAATTACTGCTGGTTGGAATGAACCTAATATTTTGCGACTCATCGCTCCATCGCCACGTCGCTGGGAGCTCTGAGTACTTTTCTTAAAAAAAAAGTTTTGACGGGTTTTTAGTTTTTTCAATTATTTTGTTTTTTTAATTTAATATTTAATAGGCTTGTAATTACGTAAATTTTTTTATTAACCGACCTTTAAATAAATAAAAAATAACTATATTACACGGGTATTTTTTATTTATTTAAAGGGGCATATACTTATATGCACATATATATACCTATCCCAGCAAGCACAAACATCCTCAGGACGTCCTTGGACCAGCCTAAATGTCCCAGAATGGGATGATTCTATAAGGACTTCCTGAGGACGTCCATAGGTTGACCTTATCGGACATTAGATCTTTTGAAGGTCCCATTTTGGGATATCCTAGGAACGTCATTTAAGGATGTCGTTAGGACCTAATAATATCCTAATTAAAGCCTAAAATGGGCTGATCATAGGACTAATCCCAGAGACATCCTCAGAATGTCCCGTTAGGTTTTGGTAAACATTTGGTATGCACATTTTTCTATAAGAATATTTTATCCATATAATTAATAATACCTACATTTTTTTACATAACTTATTTTGCATAGGCCCATCTTAAAAATGTTAATCAATATAATTATAATATTATATTATATAGATTTTTTTTAAGTTTATAAACTATATTTTTTCTACGACAATCACAAAAATAAAATAACTTTCAACAATTATATATAAATAATTATTTATAAAATCTGACATCGACCAGTCTATTATAACCTCACTTTTTAGACCCTTTATTTTGATGGCCATTGTTTCGCAGTTGACACCTGCAATTAACTTCAACCCATGACTAAAAAGTCCGAATGCCATTGCTGCCCACTGAGCAAAAAAACGTAAAATATATGTAAAATTAACGTCAAAGGTTGTAGTGTGACGTATAAGAATCTTGTAAAATAAACGTCACATAAACGTCGCTGTGATGTGCCTATGTCCGGATCCTGGGCCGCGAATTAGCCATAACCGTTACGTGGATAAGGAGACGTAAAAATTACGTTTTTAAAAGGACGTAAAAATGTCATTTTAATATGGACGTATAGGTTTTGTTTCAACTTGTACGTATTAGTTACGTTTTTTTAAATAAAACTACCACTGGAAATATATTTTTTTTATTAAAATAAATTATAAAAATAAAACATTATATGAGTAGGTACCGCCTAATTAATTTTCGGCCTCATTCTCATGTCCAAATTTGGCCAAAAAACGTTATGTGCGTTGCTTGGCGGTTTGGAACAACTCCTTGCTCTCTTTATCGAAATCACTTCATACTGGCTTCTAAAACAAACATTATTATCTAAGTAATTAGGTACCTATATAAAACTTATAAGTATAACTTGCCTGTTGCTCGGCGCAAAATTTGTCTCCCATGTTTACTGGTATATTAACTGAAAAATCAAATTGATTAAAAGACTTTTCTTTAAGTCTAACAGCATTGATTAATATTACTTCTCACTCAACGCTAACATTTAAATCAAAAAAATTCGATACCCACTAATAGCGCCAACATGGCGATATTGGGACAATTAATTAAGTATATTATAACCGTATGGTTGCAAACAAATGATAAAGCCAACTTACCTAAACCGTTCAGTCTCGCCTATGGAGAACAATGCGTTTTCTATCACACAGCAACAAATGGCAACACACTGTGTTGAACACAGAACAATGGCAGTCGCAACGCAAACAGAGTATGCCTTGTTACAGGGCCCCTTTTATACCGATATATCGACTGGAAACGAAATTACCCGAGTCCTTTTTTACGTAAATTTTACATAAAATATACGTTTCTTAATCTCACGATGCGATAATAATAGAATAATTATTATTCGGTAATATTAACTAATAAATCACTCTGGGATTTATAATAAGTCATTAAAATAATAATTGTACCTACTTACATTGGTTTCTAAGTAAGTTAATATAAAATTATGAATTAAATTCGGTATTTAATTATCTAAGTACTTATACACTCAAATTTACAACAAAAATGTAAATGTGGCATATATTTTAATGTTCATCATTGGCAAACCTACCCCATTCATATTTATCATGTGTCACATTGGTGACGTAAAATGTACGTTGTGTTTTGCACCTAATACGCTAAAGTAAAATAAAAGGCATAGAGTGGACGGTATAGTGACGTGTTCGACGGTGCCGTTTATTTTTTAGCGTAATTTTTACGTAAATTGAACATCACTACAAAACGTAGTTAATGTGCCTTAAAATTGACAATTTTTAAACGTCACTGTGACATCACCACATCCATAATGTTCAGTGGGTGCCAACTTCAGCCCGTGACTAAAACGCCATAAAGCCACAACTTGTCAATGTGTATTTAAAATATCATGGAAACATGTACGATAATCGGCGTTTTAAAGGCGGGAGTTTAAAAACAATATTATATTTTGTGTATTCGTTATATGACCACAAAATATATTTTGTATACAACTGGATAGCAGCCAACTTAATACGCATGCGCAGAAATGACGGCTGGTAATTAATAATTGTTCAAACACCTTGTTTGTACTGATACATTTAGAGTCTTATAAATAATAAATAAGGTAGTAAGCGTCAGTTAACCTTAAAAATGTAATTACAAACGCTATCTATAACTTATTTAATAGTTTGTGTTACCGATTGTTTTAAATTTGCCGCCATACGTTATGGTGGTAACTATTGTCTATGGTGGTAACACTGGATGGAGAGAAAGCTAAGATGTCGTATAGCGTCCTTTAGTTGTTTGGCGCCTTTTTGTTAGAAATAATCATAGATAACACTGTGAAAGGAATTCTTTGTCTGTGCCGTGAATTCTTTTTCTGTGTCGTGAACCTGGTTTAAGGCCGTGCACGATTCATGAATCTCGTGTGTTTGTTATAATATATAATATTATTATAGTGTTGGATATTTCAACAACAATCAGAAAGTTTCAGTGCTTATTAATTGTTTATTTTTAAGTTTAGGGTAGTTATGCAATAATAATTTTTTGTTCCATATTAAGTTGTCTTTTTATTTAATAAAATGTTATTTTTGTAATTACTTCAGAAACCTGATGTTCAATTGTTATTCTGTCTTAACCATTTTAATCAGAAGAAAAAATGCCACTAATTTGCTAATTTAACCGACTTTGTAGCTGCAATAATAATGGAGTTAAAATGGTGAGCAGATAACTTTGGACACTGTGTATATATAAATAATATAACTATTATATTTATTTAGAATTATTATTTATTTTACTTTTATAATAGGTGTTTATTTTATATAATTGGCTGTGTAAAATTATATATATGTATACAGAATTAAAATAATATAATTTATAAAGTAATAAAATGGTATTTGACCATAACAAGGCCATTCAGAGGATGTCCTCAGGACATCCCATTCCTGGACCTATATGGACCTAGGGATATCCCTAGGATATCCTAAAGGCCATTTGCGGGACGTCTGTAGGCTGGCCTTTTTTGCACCACTCGGCCATGGTTGGGATGTCCTGAGGAGGTCTGAGGACGTCCTAGGATATCCTTGGGATATCCCAATATCCTGTAAGGCTTTCCTTAGGATGTCCTTAGGACAGACTTGTGCTAGCTGGGATGTATATAGTAGAATACTTTGTGCCCTCTGTATATTATAACAAATTGCAACTTATTCTTCTCCTTATTTTTAAATATTAAATTGGTTTCAATCACTCAATGGATGTTAATAAATTGCCTTAAAACATTAAAATAAACACAATATTTTAAAATATAAAATTAAAAACAAAATGTCTAAATCTAGATAAAAATAAAATTTCATTCCGTTAAATAGTATAGATTTCAAATAGAATATTAATTTAATTTAAATTTAGATTAGACATTTTGTAAAATGATCTTACCGTCTCCTACGCTACTTTTAAAGCTAAATAATTATGTTGTAAATAAAAGATAAAAAAATAAAAACGTGTTTATTTTATAACATAAATTAAATTAATAATACTTAATTAATTTTCTTCAGTTCTTCTTCTTTGTCTTCAGGCAAGTCCGCATTAAGCCTTTCTTTAGTTAGAAGAGTTTCAGTTTCTTCTTCGTTATCTTCTTTAATTTTTTCCTTCTCATCCTCCTTCTGCAGATAATTGGGAAGCCAAAAACAAGCGTACAAAAGTTTTACAAAAACCCACGCAAAAAAAGCAAGAACTAAATACGAAAAGGACGAAAATATCATTTTTAAAACATCAACACCAACTTTTTGAGATCTCATGTTAAATTTAATGCTCGAATTTTAGGAAATGCGGCGTAAATATGATGGTTTTGTATAAGTCTATTTTATGTTAAATAAAAACATAGCAACGAGCATTGAAACATAAGAAATCAATAAATCGCATTTATATTTATTAACAACTCAATTTGTACACTGGTAAAAATAAACTAAACAAATATACATTACCAGTAAACATTCCCTTAGATCACTCGGCGACATCTTATTTAAAATCACATCCAGATCTTCGATGTAACCGATACTGTTTTGCCTCATTTTGAAGTCCAGTTCCTCTTGCATTTTTTTAAGTCCATCTTCGATAACGTGTAGATTGGTGGAAAAGCGCCTTCTTCCTCTAATAAACCCGCTGACCAACCAAATACAAAGAAAAAGGCACAGAGAAGCCCACACGCTAAAACCCACTTTTACAGCGTTATCTTTTGTACTTGGATTCTCGCTCATTGTTTTTATCTTAACGTTATGACCGAAGTATAAGTACAAGGACTATTACACGTAGTTTTTAAAATATCGATTATTTGCTTATACATTTTTAATTTTATAATTGGGTAGGGATGCTATTGGTAATCGTTATTGGACGATTTTTTAAAGAAAGAGTTGTTAAAAAATAACAGTTTTATTTAATTAGTGATAAATATAAGTATATTTAGAATATTAATAAATAAATATGAAATATAACACAGCAATGGGATAATTGATTGTTCAGTATTATTGTATCATCTATGGAACACTTTGAAGACAATCTTTTATTTGGGTCCATGTTTGTAATCCCTAAAATAGTACATTAAAATAAATGTTTAAGCTAAACACAATTTAAAACTACTTCTTACCTTTTTGGCAATCTTTAATTGAAGAAATGCGTAGTTTCCAAGAGTATCTTTTAAATCCATTAATTTTTGATTTTGAAAGCGTTCAATGTCGCATAAGGCCTTAATATTAAATTCGCTAAAAAAATATGTTCTAATTATTCGGCAAAAATACAATGCTCTAGAAATTATTCCAATATGTCCACTCAAAAAAAAAGTTATAAAATTAAAAGTTAAAAAAAATTCCTGTGTTATTTAAACGTTACATTTATTATATGTCTAATTTCAACCTTGAATAACTATTAAAGGAGTGAATTTACGAAAAAATTATAAGAGACATTTTTTGTAGAACGTTCAATTTTCTTCAAAAATATAGGTATAGAGTTCATTCCAATATGTTCACTCAAAAACGAGTTATAAAATTTCAAAGTTAAGAAAAAAGAATTCCTGTGTTATTTAAACGTAAAATAGAAATTCACGATGAGCGACCTCTAAATATTAATATTAAGAGCTACAATTTTTACAGGCTTCTTTTTTCACTACTAGGAAGATATTTCAATGCGGGCTTTGAAGAAAAAAAAATATTCGATTTTTTTGAACCAGTCTATATATACATGTTTGTTTTTAAAGTTATGAGGTTTATACAATTTCTTAATACCTTAATGTTTCGCGATTGGAGCTGACAGAAGCAGCGCCATCTTGTATCTGTTGGTCCAAAACGTTTATTTTTAATTCTCGTACTTCATCGGTGTCTACAGTGCCAAAAAGCCTGGACATTATTCCAACTTTTCCTTGCTGCACCCGAGTCCTCTCGATATTTTTGTTGGCGACGTTTTCTTCGGAATCCTCGAGCTGAAGTTGCAGTGCATCGTGATTCTTGCAGACATGTTGAAGCGACGTTGCAAAAAATAAGTATTCCTTCAGCTGGTCGGCCAATAGTTCTTCGTCCTCTAAACCGGAGTCGATATACGAGGCCAGAGAGTCCAGATAGTGTCCTGTTTTTTGAAGGGCGTCGCCTAATTCGTTTTCAATGACGCTCCACTCGCTAAAAACTCTACCGTAGTTCGAGTGCAATTTGTGGACTGTGTATTGTTTTTCGGCAACACGAGACCTTGCCCTTAAAAGATTATTCAGGTTGGACTGCAATGTGTGGCTGTACTCCTTGTAGGTCTCGAATCTCTGATTGGGCCTTTTTAGACGGACAGATAAACTTAGGCCTTTCAGTTTGTTTTCCACCATTTGGAGATAGCCTTAAAATATAAATAAAACTAAAATATTAACTTACTTTTAAATATTTTGTTACATATAAAATACGCTGTGGCTCCCGTCCCGAGGCGGGACTTAAGTTCAGTCCCGAGTGACGTACGTCAAAGTGTTGGGTTGGGTGGGTTGGTTTGAATGGTTTATTTTAATTTTATCGTAACATAACATATCTTAAAATTATGACGTCATAATTTTAAGATATGATATGTTACGATAAAATTAAATTGCCGCAGTCCAGATAAAAAAAAAGAACTTTACATGTTTTATAAACTTCTCCAGACACTCGTTTTATTAAACAGTCGCTCGCAAGCTTCGCTCGTGCCTAATAAAACGCGTAACTAAAATTGCGTTTAAAAATAAAACTTGATACATATATAATATACTATTTTCTACTCCCACCTTTAAAACGCCCATACATGTTTCCACGACACTAAGCAGGGGCGGATCTAGAATGTGTTATTGGGGGGGGGGCGGAGTTGAAAATTTTCGTAAATAATAAGAAAGTTGAAATTAAAGTTATTCCATTTTTTTATTATTTTCTATATTAATTTAAAAAGTTATGTTCAATTTCAACTTTATAACTTACTTCCGGGGGGGGGATCGCCCCCATCGCCCCCCCCTTGGATTCGCCAATGACACTAAGTGATCTTTTAAATACACATTAGGTTAGCTGAAGGCTGAAGTTAGCAACAGGTTTTTAGTCAAGCCCTAGGGCTAAAGTTAGCTTTAAGTTAGTTGACAGTTGTCAAATATTATACATTCGTTAAAATAAAGTGACTTCCTGTGATATAATACTAAATGTGAAAATTATTGTATTATTTTAATACAAAAATTCAAAAGTATCAATTAGTTTCTCAACGCTAATATTTAAAATGTTTGTTTGGTTTCGACAGCAACCCAGTCTTATATAATACTGTGGCCGGTAGTGAACTAGATTTAACAAACAAAGCATTAAATATTTCGGGTGTAGACTCCACCGTGGAGTGTCCATAATACATTCTCTTTACTTTCACTGTGAAAACTGTTTCTATATATAATTTAAACGGTTGTTAGTCCATTTTCAAGGGATAAATTACACAGAAAATTGTGACATTTGCCGGCGGTAATACAGACCCGTTCTCACAGTTACTCTACAAATAATTTTTTGAAAATCTAATAAAATTTAAAATATCATATTTTAAGTATTGGACTAAACTTAATGACCCTTATTTTCTCAAGAGTCAGTTTGCCATTTTTAATTAGTTTTTAGTTATATAAAAACTTGTTATAGGTATTGTAAAAAAATAATTTACTATTGGTACATCCCTGGTTAAAATGTCACATAGAGACCCTGTTCAAACCAACAGATTTTTGTATTGGACTGTATGGTGTTTCTATAGGTGTATCAGTATGAATATGACCCCTAGTTGGGATTTATGGTTATTCTATAGGGATATCCTTCCTTGATTTATTTGCTATTGTTCTCAATAGGGAAAATTCACATAAATGTAGAAATTAGTTTTTCTCCCATAGTACCCCACAGGTTTTAACAAAATTTTGTTAAATGTTTTATGGTTGCTCTATAGGGATATCCCTATATATCCTTCCTTAAGTGATTTGCTATTGTTCTCAATAGGGGAAATGTAGAAGTTATGGTTAGCGTTAGCGCCCGATAGATTATTATTATGGGTCTCTATGGGATATTTTAAGCAGGGATCTTAATACCTTACCATTAGCTTTATAAGTTTCTCTCCACCCATCTTCATGCTGTAAAAATTCAATGAAATGATTATCCCAATTAAGAATGTGATGGCTGGCAATCCGAAGTAAAAAATTCTCTAACCCTGCTCTCCTTCGATCAATAAAATTAGGATCAAAAGTATCACTTGATATCTTCTGCCATCCGAACATTACTTTCTTTTCTGGAAGTGGTGGGAGTACAACATAGGGATAAGTAATTTCTAAATAGTCCCTTAATTGCTCGAACTCTGTATACCTTCTCCATACTGAAGTTAGTTTGGATATCTTGTCTTCAAAATCTGGTTCATTTGTCCTAAAAACACAAATTGGAATGTCATTATTAAAACAATTTAATACAAATATTACTGAAGACCGACTGGATACCTGCCAAACATTTCGACAAATCCTATATTCATTAAATAAGCAATTAAAATTGACCTTTATTCACTAAATTAACAGGCTAGTGCAAAATAACAAAATTTGTGTAAGCACTTACTTGGTTTCAATTAAATAAACGGTATAAAAATCCCTCAAGTTTAAGGATCCATTAGCTCGTTTTTCGGACTCGGAAACGGAAATTTCAAGACGATTTATAAGATCGTCCTAAAAATTTCCAAATAAATTGAGGTTAGGTAATGTGGCTAGATGTTTGTAAATAAATTACCGATTCGATTTTGTCTTCTTCTGTTGGAAGTTTTGAATAGGATCTTTTCATTTTTAAGTTATTCAAATGTTTTTATAGTTAATTGCATATCAATTTTCTCGTTGACTTTAAAAACATTAAACGATTAAACACCAAAAATTTTGGTCCAAAATCCAAGTCAGGTACACAGATCTTAATGGTTAGGTACCCCAAAAAACATCTACTCCCCTTACACACGTCGTGTGTCACACGACCACCGCTTATCTTAAAATATTTATTTAATTTACTATCAGTGAATATGAATTATTTTAAGTAAACTACATATGTATAACAAATGTAATATTAATCAATATTTAAAATATCCAACGACATCTATTAAAAAATAAAGGTATTAAAGTACAACGTTGCCAAATGTTTTCACTTATACAGGGTGTCCTGAAAATGGTGTGCACACGCGGTTTCTAAAGACAAAAATAGAAAGACATCTTCTTATAAACATAGAAGATGGGTTGTTTATTATTATTTCCGAAACAGTTTGAGATGAAATAATGAAATTTTGTATACCTACTTACTTTAAAGTACCTAATTACTTTTTATGCTTAATTTTAAATTACACAGGGGCGCGCCCGGGCGGTCTAGGCACGTAAAATAACATTTAAATAACAAATTTAATTTAAAATATTTTAACAAGAAATATTAATTAAAAAAACATAGGTACAGTGTTACCCATTTAAATGGGTAAACAATTGTTTGCGACTCACCCCTGTAAAATGTTTATTTATTGTGCGATTTTAACAGGGTGTGTTTTAAAGTGTAAATCTTGATAAACTGTATTTTTGGAGCAAAAAAAGATATTTTTACAAAATAAATGCCCTGTTGTAAATGACCGATTAAATCCTAGGATAAGCTTATAGAAACCAATTGAAGTATTGGTTGGTATCAATAGGTCTGAATTGGACTGGGTTTAATTGGGAGAGCTATAAAACAGAAATTGGTTTTTACTGGTATTTTCCATGATGGAAAAGTCCAATTAGGATTCTACTGTTTTTTAGTGGTTTCGATTGGTTAAAGCTACACTGAGAAAAAAGTTTATGGTTCCCAAATAAAAAGAATAATTAAATATGGGACAGAAGCATTGTTTATCCTAAATATATTTTTATTCCTGACACATAAAGTTTTACTAAAGTAAATTTATCGTTATTATTTCGACTATTTAGAGGTAGTAAACAATATATTCACTATTAATAAAAAGTATTAGCTACACAGTTTAATTGTCCCATGTTTTCCAATTGAAATTAATTGGGCATTCCCAGTGTGAGATTCTAAAAAGGAATCTGCTAATTGATTATTCCCAATACTAATTTAAAATATCGCAAGAGGGCTCTCGTACGAGAGCCCTCTTGCGATATTTTAAATTAGTATTGGGAATAATCAATTAGCAGATTCCTTTTTAGCTACACGTGTAGCTGCGCAAACCCAAGGTACGCAGTCCTTGTTCGAATGGTTGAGACGCCATCATAAAGAAACAAACACGTCTTTGGACGCTATTTGATGTCGTTTTTTTATTAGTCGGTTTCTTTTATAATCTATGGGTTTCTGTGCTTAGTGGTAGTTGTGTAATTATAGTGGTACTTATACCTTAAAAAAATGTTTATACCCTGCTGAAAAAGACGGGTAATATCGGATGATTGCGGATAAAAAAGCTAGTTTTATGTCCATTTATATCTGTTTTCATCCGACATATCTGATTTTACCCGGCATGTCGGTTTTTATCTGCAATTGCGGGTATAAATATTATCCGCGAACGTCGGGTTTTATCTATTTAGTTCTATGTCTGCTTTCATATTCGTATTTGGGTTTATATCTGCATTTACCCGGTTTTATCTTATTTTATCCGCAAACATCTACTTTAATTCACAAACGTCTGCTTTATCCGATTTCACCTGCAAATATCTGCTTTTATACGTGAAGATCTACTTTCATCCGCAAACATCTATTTTAATCCACAAACATCTGATTTCATCCGCAAACATCTACTTTAGTCTGCAAAAGTCTGCTTCATCCGATTTCACCTGAAAACATCTGTTTATATCCGCAAAGATCTGCTTTAATCCAAAAACATCTGTTTTAATTCGCAAACATCTAATTTAGTCCGCAAAAGTCTGTTTCACCCGATTTCACCTGCAAACATCTGCTTTTATCCGCGAACATCTGATTTTATCCGCAAACATCGGCTTTTATCCGCAAACATCTGTTTTAATCTCCAAACATCTGCTTTTATCCGCAAACATCTATTTTAATCTTCAAACATCTGCTTTTATCCGCAAACATCTGCTTTTATCCGCAAACATCTGATTTTATCCGCAAACATCTGCATTTATCCATAAACATCTGCTTTTATCCACAAACATCGGCTTTTATCCGCAAACATCTGTTTTAATCTCCAAACATATGCTTTTATCTGCAAACATCTGATTTTATCCGCAAACATCGGCTTTTATCCGCAAACATCTGTTTTAATTCTCAAACATCTGCTTTTATCCGCAAACATCTATTTTAATCTTCAAACATCTGCTTTTATCCGCAAACATCTGATTTTATCCGCAAACATCTAACATCTGCTTTTATCCGCAAACATCTGCTTTTATCCGCAAACATCTGCTTTTATCCGCAAACATCTGATTTTATCCGCAAACATATGCTTTTATCCGCAAACATCTGATTTTATCCGCAAACATCTGATTTTATCCGCAAACATCTGCTTTTATCCGCAAACATCTGCTTTTATCCGCGAACATCTGCAAACATCTGCTTTTAATTGCAAACCTCTGCTTTCATCCGCGTTCGGTTTGCCTGCATTTCCTTTGTCCATTTCGGTCCTGTTTCGTACGCAAACGTCTGGTTTCATCACATACTTCCACTTCCTGTGGAAGTATGTGGGTTTCATTCGCGCTTTTTGTTTTCCTTTTTCTCGTGTATATTTTAGTTTAGTTTACCTGCTTTGTCAAATTTTACTGAGCTTTAACTAACTGGTTGTTAAAGCTCAGTAACACACACAACTTTATAACTCTAAGGAATTATTTGAATAAAAACAACCTGTAAAGGAAATAAGTTTATTGAACTTCAATATTATTTGGTAAAATACAAATAAGGTCTTTGTTAAAAGACATAAATAGACATTTTTTAATCATTAAGCTAGAAAACATATATGTTTTTTCGGCGTAGAAATTTTCATCTAACTTTATAAACTTTTTAACACTGTCGATACCGGCGAAGCGAGCGGATGTGTAGTTCGAGCGCTCGGCGCCGATCCACAATAAAATTCTTAAAGAAACATAACTATTATATACAGTGTAGTCGAGTAAAGTACGGTGCGAAACAGTGCTACTATTTGGGTGACTATAGTATGTATACATAACGGTACAGGTGAAATCAGGGTACCTGTTCTCCGAGGGGTTAATAGAAACATTAAATAATTCCTCAAAAGGCAATCTCTCAACGGTGAACATAGGAGTGAGGTTCGTGCGGACACGAAGTAATAAAGTGACAGGGGACAGGTCAAGGAATCACCTATTTAAAGAAAAAAACAAGTCTAACAAAGAGCGACATCACCATCACCAGCCGACTCTGATAAGTATTATTGCATGACCTAATACGCAAATCTGTAAAAAAAAAACTGGCAACAATTAACCATTGCCGAAAACAGCGTAAGTGTGCGAAAAGGAATCAAGCAGGAACGTCGCAATATTATATTATTGTATTATATATATTGTATAATATACGCGACTTGCATGCAACTCTGCCACAAGGCAAAGCTTGAAGGAAGGTAAATAAACAAAGCGCCCACGCAATAACATAACGTAAATAAAGCATCTATTGAAGCATACGTTACACGCCTAATACCGGGGCCGTTTCAGATTTTAATGCGAAGCACCACAGGGCCGGCTATTTATTTTGTATTAAGCTAGTTTTAAATTAAATTTGAAAAAAAGTATTTGTCACCATTAACATTGCCCGTATTCATTTTATTAAACATAACATTTATTTTACTTGAAATGTTAAAATAACTTTAAAATATGATTATGTTAAGATCATATTTTACTCTTTAAACAATTGTTTTGTTTTAATTACTATCATTGCAAAATTGTATTAAAAAGTGTTAAAAATTCTTACACGGGCAATGTTAATGGTGATAGGTATCGTTAAAGTATTGGGATATCTTTAAAACCTATGAAGGGCACGCGGCGTGGGGCAATAAGTCTGTCAACAGCAAATGCGTAAGGCGGTCCCAATCGAGACCGAAAATAAACACTGGACTGACAGAGTAAACTAACATTGATCACATAATTCTGACACATTAAAAAAAAGGGCCTAATAGCCAAACTCGAGATTCGTAAACATTAGACAACAGAATAATCGCGCTTGTGATTTGTTTGACTAGTGAATAAATGCAATGCTTTGGAATTTGATAAACAAAGACGGAACTCTACCACAAAACGTGCTTGGGACAAAAATTATTAAAAACAACTGACACACTTTACCAAGGGCAGGAACAGTGGCGTAGCGACAAATTTCGGGCCCCCCCGCGAAAATCCTTACTGGGTCCCCTAATTTCAGGTATTTTTTACATGGTTTTATATTGTAAATAAAAAATAATACATCCGGTGACATGATTTTTTAAATTATTTATAAACGAAAAGTAACAAAAAAATAATTTAAATAAAAATAAGGTTCTCCACTGTACCTACTTATAAATTATAAGTAAAATAATAGAAAATAATAACATATTTTTTTAACATAAAAAAATAACCAATATACCCATGGATGTTCACTATAGTTTAATATATACCCACTATAATTATATCAAAACGTAACTAGTATCTTATTTTAAAATTTAACTAAAATCGTATCAACTAATAGGTATATTTACTTAATAATATTTACTCAGTAACTCTATATATTAAACTCTCTATAACATTAAACCAACCAATAATAAAAGAAATACTTACATGTAAATACTAGACCACTTTGTGCTCACCACAGCTGACCGGCGAGAAACGCATGTATCAGTTTAGAGTTAGGCGCATGTTTCCAAGTTCTGAATCGTTCCTGCGTAAACCCGCTGTCAATTGTTAAATAAGCGCGATTTTTACATTTTAGTAAATTATGATATTTTTAATTAATCATTCATTATTATTCAATTTTTAGTATAAGTAAGATAGAAATAAGTATTTTAATGTTTTGGGGCAAGTATCGGCC